CGATTATTTACAGACCGCCGCTATATACTAGAATTATTGCTGGGTGCGGCGTAAAACTAAACTCACTAACTATGTTTTACTCTGATTTAACTCTCTAGGCGCATATTAAAATAAACTATTTGAATGAGCTCGATTTGGCAACTATCTTCCACTGGCTACCCAACCAAGTGGGAATTCCTGATAACACAATGCCTGGTTCTGCTACTAAGGCATCGGTCTCCAAATCTGTGATACCACTTCTGATCCATACACCGATTTCAAGCCGGTTATTAGATTTTACAGTTGATATCTAATGCAAAAGACGTGGGACACCCAACTAGGTATCATGAACTTTAGTGACATGAAATTTAAACAACTATCCGTTTCACATATTTGGGTTGTCAATGCACATTTGAAGAGGTTACCATGTGACAATGTCGTATTGGCCACTACAACTATACACATTTTAATCGTTTGTGACATTTGCTGGTGTCTCAACACTGTTTCGATACAGCTGTTGTGATCGGGAGAACACTGTTTCGATACAGCTGTTGTGATCGGAAGATTATCTTTCCACATTAGTGTCTGCACTTGTTCAAATGTGTACGTTCAATGTTCCCCCATAGACCAGAGCCAAAACGATGTAGAATCTAAAGTGTAACCCGCGGGATTGAATGTGACATTGCTGAGGTTACGTTCACTATTGAGGGGAGACTACTCTTCTCGGATATGCCGTTTTTGATTTTACTGCTGCTACGAGGACAAAATGTGAGCTCATTACACCCTGCACGTTACGAAGACATGCAATTTGCACATTATGCATCGGAGGAATATTTTGAGCAATGGCTTGATTTGAAAAGACACGTGTCGTCATGCGTGAATTTGTTTGTGTAGGAATAATCCCATAGTAGCTCGGAGCTGGGAAATCGATTGCAAGAATCATCTTGTTTATCTGCGAAGATGTCCCCATCATCAATTCATCAATGATACCACGAGGTAAATCGATATCACAGTTGACAGGCACCGACATTATGTTGTCACATGCATGACACTTGTCGCATCTCTCCAGTAGAAGTACCAATGTTGTACATTTTGTATGTTCAAAGGAAACTGCTTGCGATATTCACAGGCATCATTGATTTCTCAAGCCAGCTTCAATTCATGACCAGAATCTGAAGTTGCAAACGACGAAGGGAATTAAAAACTAGAAACTAGATTCGTGTTGTTATAAAAATTCTAAGTGTGTTTAAATGTTTAAATACCTGTTTACGTTACAGCCGAGAAAATAACAGGTATGTTAAAAGGTATTTCGCACGAGTAACATGTTTGCGCTCGATTGTAAACCAAAAGTCACTGTGTTCTTTAATCTGATTGGTTGAAAAACATGATCGAATGGTATTCGATTCCCGGAAGTTCGCTGCGTATTTATACGTACAAACATCGCTCACAGCATTGTATTGTTACGTCGTCAGCTGTGATGACGTCATTCAAATCATGTTGTGACGTAAAGTCTGAATGACGTCACAAATGAGCAGTTCCAGATGCTACCATGGGAGACAGCCGAAACGGACGGCTGATGACATGTCACTGCTGTACCCGTACTCGATGTCAATGAGTACAGACACAAAAACGTGTGTGGACCATTTTGGTTTACTTTTGTGTTTACAATGTCGATAAACATCATGTGTTGGCCAATTTCCGGGTGTTATTGAATATTTGAAGCACGGGAATTCATTTGGAACCGACGGCGTCAGCCGGAGGTTTCAAATGAAATATTCCCGTGCTTCAAATATTCAATAGCACCCGGAAATTGGCCAACACATGATGTTTATCTCCTAATTGAAGCACAAGTAATTCTTTAATGAATTTTAATCAGAAAATTTGTATGACATAATCTGGCCTTAGGTCATCACCATGGAGTAACTAATCACGGGATCTCACACATCATTCATGTATAATATCACCATAGCTAGTCACCATTGTTTCTGGGATATGAGATATCTGTTTCAAGCAACAAAGACCCAAATGAAACCTGTAACGGTTGTCCAGTACACAAAGTATCTTGAGGTGAAATTGGGTTTAACGTCCTCGAGAATATTTCGCTCATATGACGACGTGCATGCGTGTGTATGTGTATGTGCAGCTGCTTGTACTAGCCCAGATTTAAGCTGGTTTTATAGTGCTAGCCCATTGAGATACCATGCCACAGTGAAGCATGAATACCCCACTCAGACACATTATACTGACTCCGAGCCGACCGGTCCTTGTTGTACCCATTAATGCCGAGCGCCAGACAGGGACCAACAAGTACCATATTTTAACGTCTTTTGGTATGACGCGGTCGGGGATCGAACCCGCGACCTTCCGCTCTCCGGGCGGACGCTCTAACCACTACACCACGGAGGCGGTCCAAAGTATCTTGAAGAATGAGGACAATGTTATGGATATACAACTTCTTTATTCTGGATAGGCGATGTTTCGACAGAGATTCTATTGTCATTGTCAAGCAAGTGACAACGACACAATGGCATTAGCATCTATGACGAAACGTCGCCTATATAGAATAAAGAAGTTGTATATCCATACAAATGTCCTCATTCTTCATCTCAACTTCTAGAATGCCAATCAAAGAAAACAAAGCATCTTCCCAATCAGTGAGCTATTCTTCACAATAAGAATCGTTTTCAATTTCAGAAAGGTCTGTAATAAAGTCTTAATTTCAGCTACGTCGTCAGTTCAAAAATAAATTGATTCAAATCAATACCAAGGAAAAATAGAAATCACATCTTCGTAAAGACAACTCATGAGCCTTGAAATTGATACCGAATAAAACATGATGTGCCACGGCGCTGCCTCGTGTTATATTTCTTTTTATGTTCCATGACTTTTCAGTAGCTAGGCAAAGTATTTGTTATGTATGTCACAATGGCAGGGTATGAAACTCCCAGCCAGACCACACAGGGCTGATTAGATGTAAAACTTGCCAGTCCTGACCAAAACTACCTGACCGCAAATAATGTAGGTTTGACATCCAATTTAGTTTATCATCCAATTGAAATTCATCATTTATTTTTATTGAATTAATAATGATTTATTATCCTGAAACATGATAAATATCTTCATATATATGTCTAAATTTTAACCCGACCGCCGGGCAGGTGAATTTGAGAATCTGGCAGTCCGTGATGAAAACAACCCGTCCAGGGCGGTCGGGCATGCAGGTATTTCGAACGCTGACAATGGTTAAGTACAAAAAAGATTCCATGAACACTTGCTGTTGATCCTTCGATTGTGACATAATCAGGCAAATCTTAAACCCATCAATTTACTTCAAACATAACTCAAGTCACAATAGCGCCTCTGAAGCAGTTTATTGATTTTGTTTGGAAAAAACGAGCCGTATGTACGTGTTGTGTGGAACATATGAATAACTAATACGGAACGCACATGAATCATTTTAAAGAACAATTATTGACGCTGAAGCCATACACCTTTGATGCAAACTGCAATCTGGCTTTGTCAGCAAGATAGACTCAATAAAGTCCTGAAATGAAAACTACAAAGTTGAACAAAAATCATGGCATCATAAAAGTGTCAACAACCACCTTGTTAACTTCACCGTTAACAACCACACTGCAAACGCAGATTGTTTCTTTGAATGTTTCATTGACACAAGCCATTAGTCTCTGCCTACCATGAATGGTATATTTTACGGGGAGCAATAGGTGCACATAAATGTTTTCTTCTATACAAGTATTCATGTATCACGTCAATGTATGTTTCACTAATCATATATTCCATTTCCTCAAGAATTTGCTCAAAACAAACTCGGCAAAACACTGCATACAATGAGTGAGTATTGCTTTATGCCGCTTTTAGCAATATTCCAGCAATATCACGGCGGGGCACATCAGAAATGGGCTTCACACATTGTGCCCATGTGGGTATCGAACCCAGGTTTTCGGCCACTAGACTACCAAATCACCCCCGAAATGCATATAGGCAAGGCCTTTACTTCAACATGATTCCTAGCGTGGTTGATGATTAGGTGATCAAGGGGGGAAATATTTCTGAAATAACAGAACTAAATATAGGATTATCAGAAATATCGATCAAAATTTCGAAACAATCTTGTCCATGTATGATATGCATCAAGAAACATATTTAAGATTATTATAGGATACTTATATAGCGCACATATCCAGGCAACTCAGGCGCTGATATTTTCTTCCTTCAATCATTGGATGTCAATCTCAATGGCACATCGTATTATCAATCTCAACTCCCTTATGTTTGTTTGTTGTTTCTCAAACGCCGTCCCATTCAGTACTGGGACATCCACAGCTACATGACGTTGCTGTACCGGTAGGTGTTTGCAGATTCATGTGGCTCTGGTCATCCAACGGTGATTGACATCATGAGTTCATCAATAGTCATCCTCACTCTTAAACGCCGTCCTCAGAACATCGATATGACGTGATATCGACATCATGAGCATCAAACTACGCAATTCAGATACGATGACCAAGTCAGCGAGCCTGACCACCTGGTCCCGTTAGTTACCTCTTAACAAACATGGGTAAGGATATTGATTCTTAGCCAACACTTTAGTTACACGGAACTCTTCACCTTTCACGGAGAGTATACCACGACGGAGAAATATCCTGTGCACATACTGCTTGAAGAATCACATCATAATGTCCTATCGAGTTGGAGTGAGTTAAGATTTAAAGTCACATCCTATCGAGTTGGAATAAATGTGACAAAAAACTTTCAATAATCACAAGAAATCTCTCCAAAATCAAGTGAGTGAGTTAAAAATTAAAGTCACTTTGGCAATATTTCAGCCGTATCCAGACTAAAACACGTTATAGATTAATAACAATAATTATAGATAGATTATAAATTCCTGTCAACGAAGGACAGTAAAACAGCTAGAATATCACATATATAAATGTAAAACTAGTAATTAAATCTCTAACATTTATCTATAGAGGTCAACACAATATAAAAATGGGCTATAGATCGCCAACAACAGAAGGTAGATCACCATACTAGGGACCATGGGGACTCCAGAATCAAGTACATTGAACCATTCCGATTATGACAACACCCGTGAAGATTCGGGTTAGAATTGGTGCTTGTGGTAAGAAGCGACAAACGGGATCGGAAGGTCAGACTCGATAACTTATAGTTTCCTTATTACATAGGTCGCTACTGTTGTTGATCACTGGATTGTCTCGTCCAGTGTCGATTATTTACAGAGTGCCGCCATATAGCTGGAATATTGCTGACTGCGGCGTTAAACAGCGAACACAAAAAAACCAAACTATGGCAACATGTGCTTGTGAACCACAAACAAATCATGATGATATCAAGTGTTCGCGAAATGGCAAGCGTTGCTTGTCTACCAATGGCACCCATTACAAACACATGCAAAGGAAAGGTAATTATTCACCATGAACACGCTGTCATACCTTATCTGTTCAGGCACATTACACAAAAATTTCACAAAAGAAACCATTCATATCGTCGCATTCGTCATCGTCGTATACGACTGAGTTGTCAGTGTCAAGTTTCATTCTCATACAGTCGTCAGAGCCCGTTTTATCCAGCCAGGTAACAACTGTATCATCCGACTCCCATCGCCACACTCCGTCAACGATGGTATCCGTTGCCCCAAGAAAATACTTGTTGTGCACTGGAATAGAGCAATGAGGTGAGGTGAGGTGAGATGAAATTGGGTTTAACGTCGTGCTTGAGAATATTTCGCTCATATGACGACGTGCATGCGTGTGTATGTGTATGTGCGGCTGCTTGTACTAGCCCAGACTGAAGCTGGTTTTATAGTGCTAGCCCATTGAGATACCATGCCGCAGTGAAGCATGAATACCCTACTCAGACACATTATACTGACTCCGGGCCCACCAGTCCTTGTTGTACCCATTAATGACGAGCGCCAGGCAGGGACCAACAAGTACCATATTTTAACGTCGTTTGGTATGACGCTGTCGGGGATCGAGCCCGCGACCTTCCGCTCTCTGGGCGGACGCTCTAACCACTGCACCACGGAGGCGGTCGGAATAGAGCAATGAAAATACGTGATGGTTATGTCAACGGAACACAGTAAGTACATGATTCGCTACATAGTCAGTAGTAATGGTGGTCCGATTAATTGAAATAATCGAAGATTGGTCGCAAAGACTAAATGACCAAGCAATCGATCATGTTTTCTCATAATCGAACACATACAATTTTGGAACACTTGTTTGCATTAACTATATTTTTCACAAGGTTGATTTTGTCTGTTACATTTCATAAGCACCACAAGCTCGTTCCTTGTCAGGATTGAATTTATCTTCAAATCTCCAGGAAATATATGTTCCTAACCATGCTAACATACTAGTCATCCTTTAAAATGTGAAATTTGTAAATGCGTTTTGTGCAATTTGCAAAAAAAAGCCGAAAGAACTACATGTTTTTTCTATATTTTTTGTGAATAAACAAACATAACAAGGAGAATTTGATAAATGACGCTAACCAATTATTTTCGGTTGTAATTAACCAATCATCAATTGTGAGATTTTAACCAATTCCCAACACTTGTCAGTAGACTAATCCTAATCACATTGGCCTGTATATAATCGACCCAAACGAGTTGATGTATTGTTTAATCGCTTACTAAGTAAAATTCAAATGAACATGTCCAGCCACTTGCCATGTATATATTTGTTTACCTATGTATTTATATATTCTCATGTACCACCGTTGGTTGGTTGAGAAATAAACTTCTCTGTCTGTCTGGTAACGATTCTCTCATATACTATGGCGTGTCATAATATCAGTTCCGAGGTCAATGACGACCATTACGCTGCCTAATGCTGGAGTTATAATATATATACATTATAAGTTGTATGCTTCTCTCGAGGGTAATACGGTCTGGTGTACGCCTTTTTGTAGCAGTGCCACCCGAGCTGGTAGGCGAGGGATGACACTGCTACAAAAGGCGTACATCAGACTGTATAACCCCCGAGGGAGACGTTTACAACGTATTTATCTTGCCGCCATGTTAAATGTACAAAATATCATTTTATTTTATTTTGAAGATCGCTAAGCTCACTCTCGACTATGTGACATGTAAACAAAATGGCGTCTGCCTCTCGACTGGATTTTTATAATCAATAGTTAAGCATGTTTACGTTGAGTGTGCAAACGATTCAATGTATAAAATAGTTTAAATAAAGTCAAAGTCAGTAAAATAAATGTGTCCATAGTGAACTGAAAAACAGCTAATCGAACGGGTTTCGAACTCCGTGCACTGCATACGTCATATTATTACGTCATACGATTGTTAGCGAAACAGCTTCTCGGCGGCGAGTTTGACGGTTACCGTGGCAGCGGGTAATATGTTTTCCAGTTGTCACCATGTCACCATACTATAGCCATGTCTGAATTAGTATAACAAATTCGATTCAAAATACAACCTTGCATTTGTGATTCACGTGTGTACATGGCTGTGTATAGATATACATGTCGCCATATGGTTAAAATAACGCCGAAAATGTTACTATTTGTTTCTTGACAACTCAGCAATATTCCAAACATATAAGGGCGACCTGTAAATGCTCGAACCTTGACCAGACAATCCAGTGATTGACATCAGTATCGAAGACCAAACACTCAGTCGCCTCTTACGACAAGCATGGGTTTGCTGAAGACCAATCCTAACCCGGATCTTCATGGGTCGTTCGATGTTAGCTCAGTCATTAATGACCATACAAGTTTGAACATATGAAACATGAAACACTCTACCAGGTGAAAGGTAGCCTTCAAGGACTCGTTTCTTCTCAGTTGTGTTCAGCTTGACCATGATACCACCCTCTGATTTACATGCATTAACAGCATCCTGCCATGTCACGGTTGGGGTTTTCTGGACCCTGTAGCACATATGGGCGTCGGAGTTGAAGGTATAACCATTTGTGGATTCACAAGCTGAAGTCACTGTTAGAAAAGTGAGTGAGTTCATATTTATCGTCACATCGGCAATATTGTAGACATATCGTGACGAGAACAATTGATTATCGTAGTAAACATCAATACATTTAGAAATTAAACACCTGTTGACAATGAACAGTAAAAATACTAGAGTATCACAGATACGGTAAAAATAGCATGTAATCATAAAACGATATTACTATAGAGAACATTACAATATAAAAACGGGCTATAGATTGCCAACAACTGAAGGTAGACCACCATACTAGGGACCATGGGGACTTACATTACTTTTGCTACCTGCATGCACCCTAGCTGGATTTACATCATACCTTCAGGTGTTGGCGATTGTTGAGCAAAATAACCATACAATGAAGAACAAATATGCTACTATTAAAATTCAGAGAAAGAAACATACGTTGAATGAAAAGGGACTTACGTACGCTCTCAGGGGGACAATTATTTCTGTCAGAAAATGCGATTCAAATTTGAGTGTATGCATTACTACAAATCAAGGGATGTATCAACATCGGTTTCCAATTATAACTACCCATAAACGTCAATACGCTGTCAGTAAAAAATAACTGCAACTAAAACCTGGGTGCCTGAAGTTCTGCTTGTCAAGAGACCTATCAACCAAGTTTCCAATAATAACTACCTACAATCGCCAATACCAATAGATTTGACAATAAATGTATTCACCACAACCATGCTCACCCAACTCGCCTTCAAATTATAAATACCCTTAAACATCAATTATCAGAAATCTGACTGCATGAAGTACTGCTTGTCAACGGATGTAACCACCCCTTGGCATCGACTTGGCATCGACTTTTTCAAATCAAAATATCGCATGAAGGGTGAGTCAGTGAATGATTGATTATTGCTTTCATAAAATTTGCAGCAATTTTTTTTTAAATTTAGCAGAAGTTAACTAGTCGATTACGACATGAGAAAAATGTTCAGAGTTTTTATACTTGTGAATATCCGGGTTAGAATATTGATCTTCAGTAACCCATGCTTGTAAGAGGCGACTAACGGGATCGGGCTGTCAGGCTCGCTGACTTAGTTGACACACGTCATCGTATCCCAATTGCGTAGATCGATGCTCATGCTGTTGATCACTGGATTGTCTGGTCCAGACTCGATTATTTACATACCGCCGCCATATGCGGTGTAAAACTAAACTCACTCACTCACTCACTCAGAGTTTTTATTCCAGCCTACGCTATAAATAGTTACCACACATGTGTAGGGACCGGACCTCTGGACTTTGGTAACATGGTCATGTAGTATTGTGATATTGTGCCTCTATTGACACGACAGGTCAGCTCAGGACAGGGCGCGTGTCCAAAAGGAACATTTAAAAAGTGTTTCTTAGAAAAATATATTTAGTCAATGTTCTTTGTAGATGATGGTCAAAAGGCAAAATCTGGTGAAGAAAGTGCAATGTTGGTTCGTGTTTGTTTTGTTTAATAATGCATTTGAGAGCATTCCAGCTACACGTGTGTGTGTGACAACAGTGAATACAGTCAAGCAGGACATGCTTGACCGTAGATATTCAAGTGATTTACATCGTGAGTAACGATCTAAGCCAATGGGATAGAATGAGAAACATTCGTGTCTTTTTTTCCTTTGATGTACATCATCAGAAAATATTAGTAAATCATTATCAAAAGTGTAGGAACGTGGCTTCCTCGTTCCAAAGAAGCGCAGCTGTCCTTTGTTTATAACCTTAGATGTTTGGCAATGCCATGTATCGATATGCCAACATTAAGTGTAGTTTATAATTAACAGACTTAACGCTATTCATAAATAAAACCTACGACTTCATCAAAAAACGGAAAGGTTATTTCCTTAAATACTCAAGCAAAAAAGACCTAGTTTCTTTCTGAATACAGTACCTTCTGGCATTGGCCGCCCTGAAACAAAATAAAGGTCTCAGTTACAGCATCATTATATTTAAAATATTTTTATTAGTAATACTAAATTGGGTTTTTAATATTACGATAAATGTGTGAACTTATTTGGTACATCATGTCAGTTGGTATTGCATTTATCTCAATTTAGAAAACAATATAATGCATCTGTAAAAACATAAAGGATACTGTGGTTTTACGAGGCTTTCAGCATTATTCCAGCAATATCATAGCGAGGGACATTTGAAGTATCGAATCCGGGTCTTTGGCGTGACGAGCGAACTTTCAACTACTCGGCTACCGTGTCATGGCTTTCGTATGATTTCGGCAATATCTTGAACATGTGTCATGTGCATGTGAATCACCATCAAATAATGACGACACCAGGGGTTTGCAATATAAGCGGGTAACTTACCTTGAAATTCAAATCCAACCCAACCTGATTCCGTTTTCAAAGTTAACGCTGACATTTTGCTTTTGTACATGAGACATGTGTTGTTTGCCTCCTGGTAGAAGAAAGACGCACAGTTCCAGGTGAGGGCAGATGTAGATGCACAATCAGTTAAATTCATCGCTGTTACAGAGTTAACCAGTAGATACGTGTAGCTCTCTGGGATCTTCATAGTCAGTCTACTTGTCAGCACTAAGGTGTTGCAAATACGTCCACATTTGCAATTGTTAAGGACATAAATCAAAAAGAAAATCGACAACTGCTTCATTTTACGTACACAGATTTATGAAGTCACCACATAAGCTTCTCGCATACAAATTCCTCTGATCTGTTCAAAAGACGAGTCTACTTGCTCTTCATATTACCGTACAAGTCGTCATGGAGTGTACAAACAACCTACTCTCTCCCTGAGCAACTGCTGTTTGCTCCTAACACACAGCGGGCGTTCCACTGTGCAACGCAATACTTTTTCATGCCAGACTTGTCAAAGCAGAAATCATTATTTCCTCCTCTAAATATATTGGTCGATCGGTGATTAGGACCGCCGGTCGATGCTTGTCATCGTGTCAAGTGTTGTTTGAAGAGTTCATAGAAGGTACAAGCTCGATTGCTCCTCAACAGTTATGAAACCAGAATATGTCCTTATGGTCTTCAGCCTGAAATATGGAAACATAAAGACGATATATTACTCCCCAACTTGCATGTACTTTTCAACAGTATTTTTAATTCAGGATATTTATGGATATATACTACCCATTAAAAGCTTAGACTCACTTAAAGCACTCACTATATGTTACGTATATAAATGTGGTTACATCGACGATGAATTTCTCCACTAACTTGGGGGAACCAACTGCAAACCTTATGCAGGTGAATTGCACGAGGATCATATATATATCAAATTGCTGAAAAAGCATGTGCAAATATATCGTGCATGTAAACAGCTGCGTTTTGGTGTAAAGTTTTGTTAAGAATTCACCAATTTTCACTAAGTTTCATCATTTATTGAACTCATGACAATACTATTTTCAACGTTACGAATTTGTTTTACAATACATCAGTTCATGTCTAAACAGTACCTTTAAACAATATGGAAGATTTTGCAAAGTCTAGTTCAGAACAGTTGACTGAAGTAAGTGGCTACATTTACACTAGTGAGTCTAAACTTTTGATGGGTAGTATACGTGGGAAGATATTTACGTACAATTGAAACTATAGACTTACTGTGTTTGTAGATTTATTTAACCTAAACCCAGACTGTCAGGCTGGCTTTCGGGTTTGATATTCCACTGTTGACAATCTTTTTACCCTGCAGTCACTAATCCAGAAATATCTGTCAAAGTCAAAAGGTCGATTCTGTTGTTTATTAGTCGATTTCCATAAAGCATTTCATTGTGTAAATAGAGATCTTTTTATGGTATGTTCTTGCACAAAACTATTTTTGTGGTAAAATGCTTTTCATAGTGTGTGATATGTAAAAAAAGATCAATTTCAGATATAAAATTATGAAACTTTTGTGTTTCAGAATACCTTAACTCCCTAAATGGAGTTCAACAAGACTGTGTCCTAAGTCCTCTACTATTCAGTATATTTGCAAATAAAAATGAAGGAGAAGAGGTGTTCTTTCTGAAGTAGAACTGAAAGGTTTATTACTTTATGCTGATGGTTTATGTTTGTTCTCTAATACAGCTATAGGCTTGCAGAAGAAAAAATATGAATTATCAAAATTGTGCATGAAATAGGAATTCAATATAACTTTTACCAAAATTTGCAATTTGGGTATAATGAAGAAGACTGAAAAATGGATATTTAATTCTTAATGTGTAAGATTATAAACTTCAACCTACTATAGTTTGTTGGCTTTTTTTAGATACTCTCTTGGTCAAAAGCAGTACAAACTCTTGTTCATAAAGCGAACAAAGCTCTACTACCAATTAAGCAACTTCATTTCAAAATTCAAGGATCTTTACCCTTCTCTTTTATTTCAAATGTTTGATAAACAAATAAAACCAATTATTATCTGCTACTCAGAGATATGGGGTTACCATGGATAGGTGGCCTAGGACGATTCCATATACAATTTCAAAATATGTTCTGTATGTTGGTGTTTATACAACAAATGTTGCTGTCTTGGCTGAATGTGGTCGTTATAATATCTAGTGTGATTCAATTATAAGATTTATTAAATATTGCCGTAAACTATTTAGTATAGAAGAACATCGACACCCATGTCATGGGCAACTAAAGTTAAAAGAATAATCAGCATCTCTGGTTTATATTATTCATGGGATTTCCAAAATATTGTAAACACTGATTTATTTATTCCACAATTCTCACGAAGGGTAAAAGAGTGTAATACTCAGTATATTCTTTAATGACAGGGCTATAGACCCTTATCACAGGCAATGTTTGGTTGCATGAATCACGAATGCCAGTGAAGTAATTGATTAAGTTGCTTTTACCTGTTGGACTTAAATATAGACATGAGTTACACACAGCATCAACGTTTTCAAATGAAACAATTTTGATAAGGGATGTTATGTAGTGTTGGACTTGATATACTATTTAAGATACATATTTCTTAGGGTTGAGTAAGGTTCCCATACAAGCAATATATGAAATTGTTCACATAGTCGTTCAGTGTATGGGACATGTGTGTATCTCAACTCGTTAAAGAGATTGGTCTGTAATTAGATGGATCAGTACGATCCCGGCCAGGTTTAGGAATAGGGACTACAATGGCAATATGCCTTGAAGGTGGGGAATTCCCCGAAGTCCATATTTGATCAAACATTTCAAGGATTTCGAAACATGAATCAGGCATATGCTTCAAGAGCTGATAGTGAATATTATCAGCCCCTGTTGCTGTATCATGAGCTAGCTCAAGGGCAATATGGAGCTCACGTAACGAAAATTATTCTTTACAATCTTCGCCATTATCCGTTTTGAAAATTGATTTCTTTTCTTCTCCTGTTGTTTCTGATATTTTTGAAACTCGGGGACATAATTTGACGAAGAAGAATGCTTGGCGAGTGTTTCACCAAGTCTATTCACAATGTCAGCTTTATCAGTTAGTAAACTGTCACCGTCTTTGAGATCGTGAACTGTATCTGGGCCTTTGTTTTAATATGCAATAAAAGAAAGTCCTTCTTAAATATCTCAAAATCTTTATTTTCGACACAGACATATACATATGTTTTCGATTTTATAACGTTTAAACAAGTTTTCACTGGACCGTTCGTTAATTCAATTAGACATAATTGTAATTGCGTTTCTTTTGTGTGCATGTGTTCCGGGGGCATTTTGTCCAAAGTGACTTATCTACAAAATCATTTTAAATTTTTTAAACTATTGACTCTCTGTTCTTCATTGTTCTGTTGAAACTGCCTGTCTTTAAACATGCATTGGTCGATAGTGCTTATGTTTTTTTGACAGAAACCACATTGTGTATTGGTTTAAGACCGTCATTTGGTTTAAGACCGCCTCCGTGGTGTAGTGGTTAGAGCGTCCGCCCGGAGAGCGGAAGGTCGCGGATTCGATCTCCGACCGCGTCATACCAAAAGACGTTAAAATTTGGTACTTGTTGGTCCCTGCCTGGCGCTCGGCATTAATGGGTACAACAAGGACTGGTCGGCTCGGAGTATAATGTGTCTGAGTTGGGTATTCATGCTTAACTGCAGCATAGTATCTCAGTGGGCTAGCACTATAAAACCAGCTTAAGTCTGGGCTAGTACAAGCAGCCGCACATACACATACACACGCATGCACGTCGTCATATGAGCAAAATATTCTCACGCACGACGTTAAACCCAATTTCACCTCACCAAACCTCATTTAGTTAAAAGCATAACACGAATCAATTATTTACACTGTTTCACAGCGTATCTTTCGTGTTACTATTGACAGTTGAAAGTCGGGAACATGATTATAATTAAATGAACAAGACTCAACACATCAAAGTTCTCGAATGTGTACTTTACGGAGAAAGTGTTATCCCAAATATAACATGTGTTACATTTGACCACTTTCTATGTTCCATTGTGTATTAAAGTCTGTGTCAAGACTATCAGTTGTCCGACTTTCATTTCTGGGGAAGCTGCGCTGGCTGAGTCGGTTAGACTTGTGTGCTGGCCATTAGGTGCCTGACTCTGAGAGTGTGGGTTCGTATGCCGGATGGGACTCACCCAAAAAGTACTCGAATCTGTACTTCGTTGAGAAGTGTATAATGGCATTAAGCCACGAAGGTGGGGAATTCCCCGAAGTCCATATTTCCAACAGGATTTCGAGACATGAATCAGGCATATGCTTCAAGAGCTGATAGTGAATATTATCAGCCCCTGTTGCTGTATCATGAGCTTGCTCAAGGGCAGTATGGAGCTAATGTAACGGACATTATTCGTTACAATCTTTGCCATTATCCGATTTAAAATTGATTCTTTTGTTCTCCTGTTGTTTCTGATAGTTTTAAAACTCGGGGACATAATTTGAAGAAGAGTGAGTGAGTCAAAATTTATCGTCACATAGGCAATATTTCAGCCATATCGTGACGAGAACAATTAAGTTTATACATAGTAATTAATAGTAAATTGAAAAAACCTGTTAACGAAGGACAGTAAAATAACTAGATTATCACAGATTCGAATTTAAGACTAGTAATTAAATCCAAAACAGTTTAACTATAGATGACAATACAAGGTAAAAACAGGCTTTGTATTGCCAACAACTGAAGGTAGATCACCATACTAGGGACCATGGGGACTTACAGTACATTTGCTTCCTGCATGGGCCCTAGCTGGATTTACACAATCCCTTCAGCTATTAGCAATTTTAGATAATCCGGTTACACATTAAACGAACATATATTCTACGATTAAAAAGGGGAGAGTTTAAATTTACTTTGAATCTTTTTGACTAATGTATCCTCTCAGGAGGACAATCAGTTTACAGTACTTTAACCCCCCTTGAGGATACAGCCACTAACAATCTGAGTGATTAATTCAACTTCCAGTCATAAAATATTTATCTATTTACTATTCAGTTAACAAATCTAATTATTTTATAAAATACAATAATTAAATTAGAACTGATATTATAAAAAAGATCCTTCCCAGTTCGTGATTTGAAATAGATATCCCTTGTGATGGAATATTCAACACAGTCAAGCAAGACATGCTTGACCGCGATTCTTTCAACACAAGGGATACAAAACGGAGGATCCTCACCTTTTAATAAGGTACTCATGAGTATATCTTGTGTGGCCAATACGACATCTTCACGACATCATGACCTCTTCAAATCTGGACGGACAACCTAAGTAGGTGTAACCGATAGTTGGTTTTATTGCATGTAATTTATTGATACCTACTTGGGTGTCCCACTTCTTTTGC